AGAGATTCGAAGGGGTTCCAGTTGTCATTCATTTAGACTACTAAACAATTTTTATAAAAGAACTTCAAATTTTAGAGTTTTTGTAATTTGGTTGTATAAGAGGAATTCAGCTTTTATAGTATGAAGTGGTTGCCTGACAGTTACCAATAAAAGGCTGCAGAGAATCGTGTAGGACAAAGCAGGTAGTGCACTATAACCAGGCACCAGGCACTGTTGAAACGGAGCAAGGGCCTAAAGAGTTAACTCTGAATACTGATCCGGGGACCCTCCTGCTCAGAGGAATGTAATGCTTAGCTAGAATGTAATGCTTAGCTAGAGACAGAAACCAGGGCTTAGGGATTAGATGGTACTGTACACCAAAAGAATGCCTATACACCTACATAAATAAAGATAGAGTAAGAACACAAATAGATAAGAGGTAAAATAGGGGCTCGAGTCCAAAGTCTTGCAAAATTCACCATGGAGTCAGTGAAAATCAAGAAAGTTGAAGAGTTCAGCCGAGGAAGAAGAGTGAGGCTGAAGAAACAGGAACGACCACCAAACATCACTCCAAAAAGATTACTCCCCCCCAGACTCCGCCTATTATGAATATTATAACTAATGATGCAATTATATGAATATGTATGTGAAAATGTTGTAATCCCTTGTAGAAATTGTATATAATCATGTCTTTTCACTGAGAAGGCAGAGTAAGTTTGTCCAGGGTGACCTGGCTTGCTCTCCAACGTTGCCTAAATAAATACCCTGCTGTTTAAAGGCTAAATTCTGTCTCTAAACAGTTCCATTGCGCCTTTTTGGGCATCACTGTCACTGCTTGTGTTAAATGCTCAGAGCCTGTGTGTTATGAAGAACCCAAGAGCATTCACTGGACACATACAGAGCAGGAGCAAGCCAACTGGAAGACTTATTTCTTACGTTCATGTGGCTTTTACATGACAGTAAATGCTCCATATTTAAGTATAACATGAGAGCATGAAGGAAAGTATCCAGGACATGATCAAAATTCACTTAACTAGGGTATTCATTAAAGCAAGGCACAAGCTAGACAAAGCATTTAAACAACTTGAAAAAACCATCATGCTATAACGTTACCAGTCTAGCACAGAGATTGCAGGCATGATGTAAGCCAGGGCTCATGGGGGGATGGGGGAGAGGTCCAAAAAACATCAGCCCTTCATCTGCAGTCTTGCCAACTAGTTACTTTCTTGCTTTCTAACACAGGGTTCTTCTTCTGTGAGGCTCAGCACCTCACCCATTGTCACACAGAATCTTGTGTGGACTCGTAAACCAAAAGGTCTCTTTCATATGCTGCAGCAGTCAGAGAGGAGAGAGGGATATTCCAAACAAGTCTTGCCACCTGCTGTAAAACTACTGGGACAAAATATATACAAATATAAGCCCTGCAAAACAATCAGTGCAACAAAAAATACCCATTTTCATGAAAGGCAATAGAAATATAATAATTAATAATCATAGCATTGTCTGGTATTTTGACAGTATTATTCAAATTATACTAGCCGTCCACTCTTTTAAAGTCTTTCTAGTTTGGATACTATGAAGTAAGTTCGCTGAAGATATCTCTAAAGTCAGTAGGACATCTTCAAAAGTCACTTGATTTAGAATTTTGAGTTTGTTTTCAAATTTCAGCCACATTTATAATACAAAGTCAATTATATTATGACCTTCTTTACCAGAGCCAAATGTAAGTTTTGATTCCAATTCTGATTCTTGCTTACCAGCAATACAAACAATATATACAGAAAGAATAAGTTAAAATAGGCTAATGCACGGTCATGGTTGCTGTCTTGATTAACGCAAAAATGAGAAAAGCAATTAGAACAGTTTTCCTAATTTACTGTCCCTCATCATCCTCCCAGCCCCAGTCAAGCTCACTGGGAGCCACAGTTTGGCTCCACTGTTCATGAGAACCACCAGTGACAGATTGAGAATGGATACATTTTGATTTGTGATACAACTAAACGAATAAGGATCACCTGAAGTGATATTAAAAAGGCATTGTTAGTCACAGTAATCACAATATTAGGTGTGGCCACAAAGGCATACGAGTGACAGATGTACATCCTGACTGAGTTATTATACCAGTTAGTAAGAGTTAGTAGACACAATGAATTATCTCTAGGATATTTTCTTCTACGTGACATTTGGGCAGGCCTTGTGTTGCTCAGTATTCACTGGTTTCTTTCCAGGATTTTTAATAGACAGCTTCTGCATCGGCAGAAATGGAATGCATCTCAGGTCTTTCAATACAAAGCATACATCCCCCACACCTGGGATCAAATTAAGGATTTTGTTTTGTTCTCTTTCTCCTTTTCTCTTTTTTTCCTCTCCTTTTATTAATATTATTTTTATCTTTTTTTTTTCTTTAAATCTCAACTGTAGCATGCGTGTGAAGGCTTCTAATTGTACACATGCACTTAGGATTTGGTGTTTGTTGGCCTAAAGCACAAAATGCACTATATAAAGAATTTCCTTTTTTTAAAGTTATCAAAACTAAAGTTATAGATACTTAAATTATTAAATAGGTCTAACAGTTCCACTGCTGTGCGTCCACTCTGCAGAACATTCATTCATTCACTTCCCCACTTCTCTCTCTTCCCTTGCATCAAAGTTCTCCCCTTCTGCCGTGCAGTAGGGCTGCTGCTTTGACCTCGAGCAAATACAGTTGTGGCCTTGTAAGAGGACAAGTAAACATTATTAAGGAAGAAAGTGTGAAAAGGAGAGGTGGTTGCAGATAGAGGAATGTGTTTGGACACGAGAAACAGCCGAGAGCTGCCGCAGCTGCTACCAGTTCGCCCCCCCACCCTGCCTCCAGGGAAGGGGGGGGGAGAAACAGCCAAGTGGCACACGCTATCACTGAAGGGTCCAAGAAAAAAACCCAGCTTAACAGATAAGTTATTACGGTACCATTAGCAACACTCTGAGTTCACGACGACACATTGGACAGACAACACAATTAACACAAGAGTTAACAGAAATACAGTAAGGCAGGTACACTCCCTAGCCTGTCCCGCCTCTCAACAAGAAGTAACGCAGCCCCACAGGAGTTGTAGCACTTCTCCGGGGCCGCTCTGTTCCCGTTTCCCTCCAGGGCCGCTCTGTTCCTGTTTTTTTCTTGCATTGCTGCCACCGGGCTGCCCTCTCGTCAGCTCCTGGGTGCTCCTGCCTGTAGTGGTTTGAACCAGGTTTTCCCCCTGAAGCTAAGAAAGTGGTAACCCCCAGGGGGTGGTGACACTGGAGACTTGAACCAATCTGCGCTCCTGCGAAACATAAACATACCACAACCAGACCAGAAGAGACGAGCTGTAGTCTGGTTGGAGAAGTGACCACGTTGTAAGACCACGAGTAGAGAGAGCAGGAGCCCCCCTGGGGGGGCTCCAGCCTCCCAGCCCCTTGGCTGGGACTGCAGAGACTTGGAACAGTGTTAGACTGGGCAAAGTGTCTGTAGTTAAGCTGGGAGATGTTTCTCCACCGTGGGCAGCGGCAGGAGTAGCAGCAGCCAGCATTGACCGGAGAAAAAGCGGCGGCACAGAGCCAAAAGATAAGAGAGCAGCAAAACAAGCATGCAGCAAGAGAGAGAACTCCTGGAAGGAGAGTCAAGAAAGAGAGCTAGCAGCAGAGAGACAGAGTTTGGGGGTAAGGGCTGCAAAACTCCCCTAAACTTTCTTTGAGATCCCTCCAAAATGGAGGGGGTGGACTCTTACTGATTAGAAGTCCTAAATGGAGTAAAGGAGCTAAGAAGCTCGGTTGTCCCGAGAGCTCAGCCAGGATGGTGTGTAGGAGGTTGACCTTGGGGCCCTCCCTTGCTGCAAGCTACAAAGAAGCTCGCAGCCATCTTGAGGCAGGGCACAGAAGCTCTGCAAGGGGCTTGAGTCCCCTGAAGATACCAGACCGTCACGAAGACCCCCTGTGCTTCATGGTATGACCGTGGTGGAACGACCTTTGTCTGGGGTGAACATAGCCCATGGAAGACCCCTTTGCCTGCTTCAAGGGGCCGAGAGGGGCTTGGAGGCCTCCCTCGTGTGTGCTGGCAGAGATCCAGCTCCAACTGCTGCATGGAAGACACAGAGAACCTGCTGCCTTAGAAGATACTGCTGCTCAGAGACTAGAAGGGATCTGTCCTTCTTCCCTCCTGGACTTTTATTTGGAGGGGAGAAGAGATCTAATCCATTGTAAATACTTATGTCATGGTAGAGATAGTTGAGATCGTGTGTATAATGTATTATAATATATATTTATTTGTACAGTCATTGTAATATATATTCCCTTTCCCCCATTCTGAGTCTCATGTTTTGTCTGGAAAAAAATCATCCCACATTAGGTTGAGATGTGGGAGGGGGCTTAGGACTAGGGAATTAGATTTTTGAGGTTCTCAAACCATGACACCACCCTACCCACACGGTTGAAAAGTCCCATATTAGCAGCGAGGGGGAGGGGGCCTTCTCCCTTCACTGCCTCCAGGGGTGAATTGCTAGATTTTTCTTCATTTTCTGGCTTGAAGAGTGGTGACTTTTTAGAAGCGTCATCTTTTAAGGTTTCAAAGACAGTTAGCCACGGTTTCAGGATGCTGGCAGCATGCTTAAGAGAGTCAGTGGCCGCATCAAAAAGCACCTTCCCGATAGCCTGCCAAATGTCTATGCAAAATGCAGGCTGAGCATCTACCCCATTTCATTTGCACCAACTACGCAAGATGCAGAGTGCTCCTTCTTCATACTTAACACCACGTTTCTCTAGTATTTTAGTTAATACAGTTACAATTGACTTCTCCTCTGTAGTATTTTACGCTCCCATTATGTTTCCAACAGCTCACCTTCTCTCCAGGTGTCTGTAAATAATTAGGTCTGGACTTCGGCTCTCAGATCCGCCGACTATCGCTACGTTGGGCTCCGCTGTCATCGCTCTGTCTCTGCGGTTCTCTTTGCAATAAATCGCGTTAGGGTTTCACCAATTGACAACAGCCAAGAACGCACTCAGACAGTAAGTTAGCAGGCAAGGTACAACCACTACTTTATTTACAGCAGGCTTAGTTTCATAGTTTTTTCTTCTGTCCACGTGCAAATATACCATAGTTCATTGGTTATGTGTTCTTGTCCACGCATCCAAGCTCATCCCCTCGCGTGCTGGTAAATCTCTAAATAACAGCTGTTATTTACTGCAGTTCTTTCTCCTTTTCTGCTTACTCATCCTCAATGTTTACATTCTTTTACAACCTCACAGCTGTAACCGCTCAAATTCAAGGCTTAAGCTGTCTACAGTTCAGTCGTTTTCCCACACAGGATAAGCTAGGACAGTGCTCTACATTAAAGCAATTGTTGAAGCCATTCTACTAAAGCTGACACAAAAGCAATAATTCTTAATGAGAGATGGATGCAACTCCTCCAGACCAATGTTCGTGGGGAGATCTCTGCTCTCAACCTCCAGGACTGACCTTGGAGGGGTCCCCAGCCAAGGCAGGAATCTCCACACACCCCCCAGGAAGGGTTCTGTTGGAAGAACCTGCCCCTGTGAAAGGAGACTATCCCTTTCTGGTCGAAAGGGATGGACTGACAGTCACTGGACTCCAGGGGTTGCCTCACCATCAGGGGGTTCATTCAGGGTGGAAGCAGCGGCTGAAGCTCTTCCTGCAGTCGGGGCACTCGCAGGGCTTCCCTTACCGGTGGGTCCGTTGGTGTTTGTTGAAGTCAGACCTGTCGGTGAAGCTCTTCCCACATTCCTCACACTTGTAGGGCCTCTCACCGGTGTGGATGCGCCGGTGGGTGACGAGGTGAGAGTTGTGCTTGAAGCCCTTCCCACAGTCAGTGCAGCGGAAGGGTCTCTCATCCGTGTGTGTCCGCTCATGCATAAGGAGATCTGAGCTGGTTCTAAACCTCTTCCCACATTCCAAGCACGTGTAGGGCCGTTCCCCGGTGTGAATGCGCTGGTGGGGGAGGAGGTTGGAACTCCGGCTGAAGCTCTTCCCACATTCCCCACACGTGTAGGGCCGTTCCCCGGTGTGAATGCGCTGGTGGGTGAGGAGGTCGGAGCTTCGGATGAAGGTCTTCCCACATTCCCTACACGAGTACGGCCGTTCTCCAGTGTGGATGTGCTGGTGTCGGATCAGGCTGGAGCTGTCAGTGAAGCTCTTCCCACATTCCCCACACATGTAGGGCCGTTCCCCAGTGTGGATGTGCTGGTGTCGGATCAGGGTGGAGCTGTCACTGAAGCTCTTCCCACATTCCCCACAAGTGTAGGGCCGTTCCCCAGTGTGGATGCACTGGTGGATGCGGAGCTTGGAGCTCTGGCTGAAGTTCTTCCCACATTCCCCACACGTGTAGGGTCGTTCCCCGGTGTGGATACGCTGGTGGGTGAGGAGGTTGGAGCTGTTCCTGAAGCTCTTCCCACATTCTCTACATGTGTAGGGCCGTTCCCCAGTGTGGATATGCTGGTGAGTGAGGAGGTGGGAGCTCTGGCTGAAGCTCTTCCCACATTCCAAGCACCTGAAGGGCTTCTCCCTGCTGGGAGGCTGCTCAGGGACCACCAGGTTGGAGCTCCGGCTCAAGTTCTGGCCTCCTTCCCGGCACAGGCTGGGTCTTTCCTCCTCAGAGCACCCCAGGTTGGCTTTGGAGCCCCTCCTCCGGGGGGATCTCCGGCCCTTTTCCTCCCCGCTGCCTTCCTGCGCTGTGGAGCTGTTCAAAATGGCCTCTCCCACCAGGTTCTGCTGGGGGGATTTGTACTCTGTGCTCTCCGTCCTCAGCTCGGGGCCTGTGGCAGGAAGGAAGAAGGACAGGGAGGGGATTTGCCTCCAGCTCAGAGGGAAGGCCAAGGACATCCCCCAACTCCACCCTGGCAGGACGGCGGCGGGGTTGTCCTGCAGCCGGGGGCGATGTTCGGCTGCCAGAGGCAGCACAAGACTGGGACAAAGGGGCACTGACTTCCTCCTCACCTGCCTGGGGGGCCCGCAGCATCTTCCTCTTCCTCGCAGCCTTCTCCTCCATCCGCCCAAACTTTGGGAAGGAGAAATCCTGCTGGGGCGGAAAACAAGGGCTGAGTGCGTTGGCTTGGGGGTTCCTCCTGCCCAAGTCCACCTCTAGAACTCATTGGGCACCTTGTGCCCATAAAAACCTCCAAAACACCAAGATTCAGTCCAGAAAAATCCAAACCCCTGAGATTCAGGAAAAAAAATCCCTCAGAAACAGCAAGAAGACCCCTGTCCTTCCAAACTGCAAAAATTTGAGATTCAGCTAAAAAATACTCCAAAATATGAAGATTAGCTCAAAAAATCTCTCCCAGAAGTTCCCCCTCTCTGGTCTCTCCCCTCTGGGGTCGGAGGGTCTCCCCTGTCTGGGATGCTGGGGGTCCCACTTAGGGATGCTGGGAGTGTTGGGGGTCCCAAGGGTCCCTTCTCCTCTGACTCTCGCCTTTGGGTGCCGCGGTCCCAGACATTCCCCCTCTCCAGGTTCTCCACTCTGTTGTCCCAGGGATCCCAGGGGTCCCCACTGTCCAGGTTTCCCTTTCTCCACACCCTCCATTTTAGGTTCCCAGGGGTCCCGGGGTTCCCCCCTCTCCGGGCTCCCCCCTCCAGGCTGCCGGGGGTCCCCCAGTTCTGGCATTGCCCCGCTCTGCCCTCCACACTCGGCAGCTCCCAGGCTCCACACCCACCCCCGGCTCTCCCGAGGGGGCCCCAAACCCGCTGTGTCCCCCCCACTGGCACCAGGCTGACAATGGAGCCGGTGGGGACTGACCCAGCAACACCAACCCCCACCATGGGGGGGGAACCACATCCCCCCTGCCCACTGCCAGGGTTCTGCCCCCAACCCAGCCCAGCACCCCCAAAAAACACCTCCCGCCCACCCCAAAGAGCCCCCAAGGGCACAGCCCTGCACAAGGGCTGGCTGTGCCCAAGGCAACCAAACAGCCCCACAGGTGGGGGGACACCAGAGGCTGCCCCAGGGCAACGAGAGCAAGGAGTGGAGCAGGCCCCCTGACACATGGGTGGGCTCTGGGTTCAGCCTGATGGAAATCTGGCACCAATAACACGGCCCCGACCACTGGCTCGGCACAGGGAGCCCGAGCTCCCCCCTCTCCAGGTTCTCAGGCTCTTGCAGCTCCCCCCTCTCTCCAGCCTCCCCTGCTCTCCAGGGATCACGGGGACACAGAGGGACCGCCACGGCAACCCCGCTCCCACTCTCCCCCCTCCTCCCACCCCTTTCCCATCAGCCCCCCCAAGCCCCAGTTCCCCCCAGCTCCCTTTGGGGGTGACCCACCGCCCCTCACGTTCCATTTGGGGGTCCCACCTGCTCTTTTCGTTTCTCTTGCCCCTTTCCCATTGTGGCCACTCCGCTCACCCGACAGCGGCAGGAAGGGCAGGGACAGGGGCGGAGCAGCAACAGCAACAGCAGGAGAACAATCGCACCCCCATCCCACGGGTGCTCAGGAAGGGGGAACTCGTCCCAAATATCCTGGGGGGAGCACAGGGGGTCGAGACATACTCAGGCTGCCAGCACAGACTTCCCTGCAAAGTCTGCAGTGAGTCAAGTTCTGGAGAGGAGATTGTGCCCCATGGATGGGATTGCAGAGGCTCCCTCAGATCCCCAGCAGGAATCAGCAACCAGGAATAGACACAAAAGGCCCCTATGAAGATTTCGGGGGCAGTGTCCTGTAGGGAGGGGACAGTGTCACCCCACCAGGGTGGGGCTGGCAAGTGGGAGGCTGCTCCAGGGGTCTGCAAGAGGCCTCGTGCTCTGCTCGGCCCCCCCAGTGGCTGGTACCAACATTCTTGGCTGCCCCTGGCTCTGGGCAGCTCTGCTGCCACAGGCTGTGCCCTCACTGTGTCCCTGCAATGGCCCTGCCTGTCCCTCACCCGTGGCCCTGCCCACATGCCTGTCCCTTGGCTCTCTCTCTGCCAGCTCAGTGTGGGGCACACGGGCTGGGGGTCCCTCCCGCACCCCCCGGGCAGTCGGCGTTGGCTGGGGGATGTGAGGGCTGGGCCTGCTCAGCACAGCCCCGGCCTCGTGCCCAGAGCCTCTTTCCTGCCCCACACAAGAGCTTCCCGGCCCCCCCAGTGCTCCCCTGCTGCTGCCTCTGCTCCTGGCTCTGCCTTTGCTGCTCCCTTGGCTGTGGGAGCAGCTGCAGGGGGGGATGGCAGCAGCTTCAGCTCCAAGGCAGTTCCTGGGGGGAGCTCAGCCTGGGGGGGACGGGCAGGGACCTGATGGTGATGGACAGGGGCCCAGCAGGGACAGCCAGGGCCTGCAGGGGAAGGCACAGGGACAACCTGGCCCCCCACACTGCCAGGGCTGTCTCTGCTCCTCCTTGTAGGCTCCGTGGCCAGGCACAGTTTGTGTTCCTGGGTGCCCACCATCTCAGCACTTGGAGCCGCTCAAATCAGCACCCGCAGCTCTGCAGCAAAGCCCCAGCTCACCTGGCACACAGGGGATGGAGAGCACCTTCTCGGGGCTGGGTACTCACAGCTTTGTCTCTTCCCCACCACGGGGCTCTCCCTCCTCAGCAGCACCTCTGCCTTGCACTTATTCTCAGGCTCACCTCAGGGACAGCTCTGGGCTCACCTCCAGGCCACTTCTCAGGCTCATCTCAGGGCTTGGGCTCAAGGACATGAACCTGCAGAGAGGGGAGATGATGTGCAAGCTGAGGGTTGCCTGTTTGGACTGGGTTGTGAGCTTCTTTCTCCTTCTAGAACCATCCCAGAACTTATTCTACTTTTCTAACACCGCACATTTACAGACTAACTTTGTAGATATATATGGACAGACACCTCTGTCACCCCGTGCATAGAGCCTCAAGCATGTGCTGCCACAGGAATGGGAATCAGAGAATCAGCCGGGTTGGAAAAGACCTCCGAGATCATCGAGTCCAACCCTGGATCCAACCCCGCTGTGCTTCCCAGCCCATGGCACTGATGCCACATCCCGTCTCACCTTCAACACCTCCAGGGACAGGGACACCACCCCTTCTCTGGGCAGCCCATTCCAATGGCTGATTACTCTCTCGGGAAAGAATTCCTTCCTAATAGCCAACCTAAACCTCCCCTGAGCTCAGCTGAAGACCCAGCCCTCTTGTCCTGCTGCTGCTTCCTGGGAAAAGAGACCAACCCCCACCTGGCTACACTCTCCTGGCAGGGACTTGCAGAGAGTCAGGAGGTCTCCCTTGAGCCTCTTCTCCAGCCTCAACACCCCCAGCTCCCTCAGCCTCTCCTCACACCACTTGTGCTCCACTCCCTTCCCCAGCCTCGCTGCTCTTCTCTGCACCTGCTCCAGCCCCTCCAGGGCCCTCCTCAACTCAGGGGCCCAGAGCTGGACACAGCACTCCAGGGGTGGCCTCACCAGCGCTCACTCCAGCCCAGCAATCCCTTCCCTGCTCCTGCTGACACACTCTTCCTCAGCCAGGCCAGGATCCATTGGCCCTCTTGGCCACCTGGGCACACTCTGCCTCCTCTTCAGCTTCCTGGCAATCCACCCTCCCAGCTCCCTTTCTGCCTGGCTGCTCTCCAGCCACTCTGTGCCCAGCCCGGGGGGCTGCTGGGGCTTGTTGTGGCCAAAGGGCAGGACCTGGCACTTGGCCTGCTTGAACCTCATCCCCTTGGAATCAGCCCATGGATCCAGCTTGGCCAGATCCCTCTGCAGAGCCCTCCTGCCTTCCAGCACATCAACACACCCCCAGCTTGGTGTCAGCTGCAAACTTGCTGATGAAATGCCTGGTTCTGCAGCAGCTGCAGATGCTCAAGGGGCAGCAGGACCAAGTCAGGGGGCTGGGGGGGCCTGGGGGGCTTTGGGGTCCAGGAGGGTCCTGGGGGAGCTGGGGAGGAGCTTTGGGGATTGGGGGTACAAACCAGGACAGACCAGGACAGACCAGTACAGACCAGTACCTCCTCACTGCTCCCCAGATCTCTCCTGGAGCTGGGCCACGTTGCCGTGGGACACCTGATCCCCCCCAGTGCCCTCCCAGTACAGCCCAGGGCCCCCAGTACAGCCCACTGTGCTCCTGTCCCAGGGTGCCGGGTGATCCCTCTTTGGGGGGGGGTTGGAAGGGATTTGAGGGGGGGCTGGGGGAGATTCGGGGGGGGTCTTGGGGGGATTGGATGGGGATTAGGAGGATTTTGGGTGCATTTAGGGGAGTTAAAAGGGGTTTTGGGGGATCAAAAGGATCTGTGGGAGGAGGGGATTAAAGGGAAAATGAGGGCTAAGCGACATTTGGGGGGGGTTAAAGGGGCCCGAGGGGGAAGAGGATGAGCTCCACCATGAGCAGCTGAGTCCTAAGACCCCCCTGGTGTTCCCAAGACCCTCTTGGTGTCCCCAGTTTCCCTCTTGACACCCCGAGACCCCCCTGGTGTCTCTAATGTCCCCAGGGCCTCCCCATGGCCCTAATTTCCCCCTTGACGCCCCCAATTCCACTGTCCCCAAACCCCTCCCCACTGTCCCCACTGTCCCCAAATCCCATTCCTGATGTTCCCAACTCTCCATCTCACCCTTGGACCCTCTGACACCAAAATGCCCCCCCCAGCTCACAGAAAGGCCATGGGCATCTGGGGACATGCTGGGGACAGTTGAGGGGCTTTGCAGGGCACTGGGGGATTACTGGAGGATACTGGGACACACTGGGGGGAACCGGGGCACTGGGAGGGACTGGGGAGTTACTGGGGGATTACCAGGACACACGGGGGGACACTGGGAGGTTACTGGGCCATACTGGGGGTTAGCGGGTGCTCACTGGAGGATCACCTGGACACACTGGGTAGTCACTGAGGGGGTTACTGGGCCGTACTGAGGGTCACTGGGAGGTCACTCGGCTATACTGGGGGCACTGGGATCCCCTGACCCGGA